TCAATAAATGTTCAACAAAGTTTGCGTTAGAGACAGTTGTGTTAATCCATCGGAAATATTGAACCTACGGAATAACGAACACTTGACGATCGTTGGAAGCTACAACACTAGTGCTGGAAATATAGAGATAATTTAGGTTAAAACATCGGTGCTGGTAGTTACAAGTTCAAGAGTTATAACAATATATATCCATGGCTCCTACATGAAAAATTTACCAATGTTACTTAAACTTGACCAGCAATTAATATTCATCTGCTAGGTGATCAGAATCCAATAACTACATCGTTCGTTGCAAAATGTCTTCGTTTTAAAAGTTGTGCAAATAATGGAAAAATGTTCTTTGAAAACTTAAGAAATCAAGTGCGCATAAAGCACAATGGGTTGATGCTTAGAAAGCCAGGAATCGTTTCTTCTCGACAAGAGAAATCTTCACTAAAAGAGGCCTGTTGGTAATAACAGATGCAATCAAAAACAAGTTTGGCTTTTATTAAATAAAATGCTTTGTAAAAAAAATACGAAACTCCTCACTCTGTGCGATGCGAATTGTCAGCACAATCATTTTAAATTTTTATTGACGATAAAATCAATAATTTGAAAGCCTCTGCATTATGCATCATTGACGATAAAATCAATAATGTGAAAAGTCAACATTATACAGTGGGAAATCATTTTCATCTTCAAAAGAATTTGACAACAATATCTATTTTCAAATTTCTTGTTTTCACGGAGGTTCATATCAAACAAATAGTTGGCGATTCGCCAACATATACATGTGCTCTCGACTGCCTGCCAACTCACACTATAAAATTCATTTAAACCTTTTTTCGGGTTTTTGATCAGTTTCACTAACTTGTTTTAGCTCCGGAAAATTCCCTGCAGCGTTTAAACATGCCGTAGTTTTCTTTCTTAAAGAAAATTGAATTAGACGCAAGCGTTGTTAATCACCCACTGGTCTCAAATCTCTCGTTCGTGTCAAATGTCATGAGACGTTTGGTTGCTGAAGAATTTTTATTTTCAATCAATACCATTTGTTTTGTTACCCACATAACAGACTGTGCTAATCAAGGCTTTTTTTAAACATCTAGAGAGCTATTATAATTTATATAGCCAACGAAGAAGAGGAATTAACTTTTTTTGGAGAGAGATAAATCAAATTGACAAGCAATTTTTAAATAGAATATTGATTTATTGTAAGTGTTTGGTTTCGTTGAAAATATTGTCAAAGGTGATGTTAATGTTGTAGTGGTTGGCCCCGATGATAATGTGGATAATGCTGATGTTTTTGCAAGTTAGAAAGTCTTTTTGTCTCTTTTTATCAAGAACGATGTGTTTTTGTCGTCGTTCTAATACCGAGTAGTAGAGTCCCTCAACTAACAATGAATCATCGAAAAAAATTCTCAACCAGTACATGTTTGAATTAATTGAGAAAATTAAAAATTATTAAAAGATCCCTATAGGAAGAACCGATGCAGTGTTTGACACATGCATTTTTGCATGCAAACAAGGGTAAATCTATACAACTTTTAAGATGAAGGGGCAAATTTTTAAATTTGACGAGCTGAGGGGCGAAAACCGCTTAAATGTTTTTTGGTGTGGCCAAATTAGTCTGTTTTTTGGTCAAACCATTCTTCGATTCCTTCAGAATTGTGCAGCTAAATTAACGTCAAAGTGATTGCGATGTAAATAAACTGGTTTAAAATTTTTTAAATGTTTAATAATGAACAAGTCTAAAACGTAGCCTTTATGATTTTGAATTGTTTACAATACTTGGTTCGTTTTTTTTTAAATGTAGTTTTAACGGAAAAATTTTCCAAACTAGCTTATAATAGAGGCAATGCCTCCTTCATCTTCTTTAGATGCTTCTGTATCGATGTAATTTTCTACCGGACGAGTAAACTTGTGCACCACGTTCTTCCGCTCAAAGATACTCGTAGTATGATTGTTACTATTTTTTGTTGTTAAGTATGATGTTCGGTCTGTTTTGTAATATATGACAAATATTTATCATCGAATGTTTTGGTTCTATGAGTATTGATTTGGCTAGTCGTAAATTTTAATGTTTGTTATTGTAATGTAACATTTCAACATTGTTGTCCGAGATTTGTCTAGTAATTTTAGTTTTGTATTTCTCTTTCATGTGATTCTTTATAGCGACAGTTTGTACGTGCATCGTGAGTCAGTCAACCAGCCAGCCAACCAACTAACCAACCAACCAACCAACCAACCAACCAACCAACCAACCAACCAACCAACCAACCAACCAACCAACCAACCAACCAACCAACCAACCAACCAACCAGCCAGCCAGCCAGCCAGCCAACCAACCAGCCAACCAACCAACCAGCCAACCAACTAACCAGGGCTGGCCTTAAGTAGTAGGAGGCGCTAGAAAAAGAAAATTTGGTGGCTTCAAGTGACATTTTTTAGAAATATGCACAAGAATATTTTAAACATTTAAAAAATTTCAACTTGAATACGTTTGTTTTATGATAAATTTTTGCTGCATAATACTGCGATTAATTAAAAATAAAACAGGCATATAAAATTAATTCATCGAAATAGGATTTTTAAAAAAAATTGTTTTAATCTGCATTACAAGGTTTTTAAAAATTGGAGGTCCTAGGCTTCTGTCTAGTTTGCTTATGCCTAAAGCCAACCCTGAACCAACCAACCAACCAACTAACCAACCAACCAACTAACCAGCCAGCCAACCAACCAACCAATCAACTAACCAACCAACCAATCATACATTTAATCAATCAATAAATCAATCAATTAATCAATCAGTCAGCCAGCCAACCAACCAATCAATCAGTTTCCACGATGTTCAACAGTGCTCCTCAGTGAATTTTTCAAACAAATAATTATAGCATATTTATAAAATAACTTTTGTTATTCTATTTATGTGGGCTAATATTTATATAAAAACAGTTTGCTGGTCTTGTTTTGTTGGTTTTCTAAGTATATGGTGATTAGTTCCACCACGACCCGAATTCTAGGTCACAATTTTTGTTGTTGTCATCTTATCGCGCGTGATTTTTTATTAAATTTTATTTTGTTAACATCCCGGCTGCGTATTTCAAGTTCAATGGGTGATATTTTGGAGTTTTCTGACATTCTATATGAAGTTCGCGGAGCTATGGTATAATATTAAAAAATTTTCGATTCTATTTTTAATTATTTCAACGTTAATTCTTAAATATATGTTTGGCGCGTTACACGGTTACAAACCGGTCAGACTAATTGGCTGACTTGACTGACTCATGGCTGGCTGACTTGCATGC